CCGTTTAACACTGCAAATACTTTAAAACGTTAAATAAAGCAATGTGATTGATCCATTCGTCGCTCTGAAGCACTTACAGCACTAAATGGAACTATTTATTGCACTAAAGCTTATGGAGGATTCACACCGCGTCCGATGTCTAATAGAGAATACAATTCTCCATTGGAAAGCTGTTCTCCTATTGGATATCAGACGTCGTACGTCTGACATCGGACGCGGTGTGAATCCTCCATAAGCTTTAGTGCAATAAATAGTTCCATTTAGTGCTGTAAGTGCTTCAGAGCGACGAATGGATCAATCACATTGCTTTATTTAACGTTTTAAAGTATTTGCAGTGTTAAACGGACTTTTCTGCTTGGTTGCGTTCAGATTCCCCACCCGGGTGTATTCTATTACTAGAAGTGCTATAGTATATGTAACATAAAGGGCGCGGTCCAACACCGCTACAAATGCTCCGCAGCGTTTTTCCCTCGTTTTTCCCTCGTTTTTCCCCGTTTGTTCTATTCCTCGGATTCGAATGAAGAAAGAGAAAGAAGTCGAGCGCGGTGTAAATCCAGTATTACCCAAGAACTGTATCCCGTCATAGCAACCTTTGGTTTGGGCCAATTGTTCAGACCCAATGACGTACATACATAGGCTGCGTTCCGAAATTCACTGCCAGTACTGAAAATCTATAGTTTATGTCACGTATATTATAGAATTTCAGCACTGGCAGTGAATTTCGGAACGCAGTTATAGACCAAGCATTCCTATACTTCTGCTGTAGCAACGAGTGAAGCCAGAAGTTGGCAGTTTAAAACAGAGTGAAAAAGTTGATTTGCCTATAGTGTTTTCTCATTCTATCGTATAGAAAGAATATGGTCGCTATCAAGCTGTCAAGTGCTATATATAATGCAGTGCAGAGTTAAAATAATAAAACCATATCTTTACTTATCTTGATATAAAATTGATATTTATAATATTTTATGTTGTGTATAAATAATCACAGCAATTGCTCTTATCCTGTTCTCATTCCACTGTCAAATGAAAAAAGTTAGGTTGCTATGATGGGATACAGTTCTTGGATAAGGTTTTAGTGCTGTAAATAGTTCCATTTAGTGCTGTAAGTGCTTCAGAGCGACGAATGGATCAATCACATTGCTTTATTTAACGTTTTAAAGCATTTGCAGTGTTAAACGGGCTCTCCTGTTTGACAGTACGGCTGCGTTCGGAAACGTCACCCGAGTACTCTCCCTCTCTTTTTATCTCTTGTATTTCGCTCCAACGGCTATCGTCTAGTAGTGTGCACACAATATGTGTTTTCGAACGCAACTCAATAAGATAGAGTGAGAAAGCACTAGAGGCAAATCAACTTTCTCACTCTGTTTTAAACTGTTAACTTTCGACTTCATTTTGCGGACAGAATGCTTGGTCTATGTATATACGTCATTGTTCAGGCCTCCTTGGCTACGTTCCAAAACTCTACTCAACGGATAGAGTAGCATTTCATTGATAAGAACAAATAAGAACCAATAAGAACAAAGATAACTAGGATTTTTTTATCATAATTGCTCCATTAAATATACTCTATCCACCGAGTAGAATTTTGGAACATAGCCCTTGAGTTTATTTTCAAAGATGTTGTGTAACCAATAAAATGATTCGTAGAACATCTAAAGATAAACTTAAGGAGGCCTTAAATATAAGACCTGACTACTGGTCTATGCTTTGTAGCTGCACTGTTGATGCAATAAGTTAGAATGAGATACATATATTTTTTTCTCGCTCTATCTTATTGTATACCAGTTCAACAGTGCAGCTACAAAGAACAAACCATTGGTCTGTTCTTTTCAGCTGCACTGCTGAACTGATGCAATAAGTTAGAATGAGAAAAAATATACTTGTCTCACTTTAACTTATTGCACCAGTTCAGCAGTGCAGCTGAAAAGAACAGACCACATATGAATACGAGCATTAATGATTTACCAGGCGGTAGACGCCTCACATGCACACGGAAAGGTATATAAAACGAGTGCGTAGAAAAATAACTACACATTGACCTAAAGTAAAATATGTTACTTATGTTGTTTAATATGTTGTTTATTGTCACATATCAAGTATAATTAATTACAATTTCTTCATCCGTACGTTTCATCTAAACACGTGAATTTGCTCAAGTAGGCCATTTCGAATATTCAATCTTCGACTCGAGCGTTTTATTCGATTCGCGCTCTAGAGACGATTGACGTCGAACAGCGCCTAACGAGCGAAGTTAGCTCCTCTTCGATTTAGCGTTAGTAAGCGAAGTTAGCGGCAGTGCGAGGCCGAGACGCGCGTATAGGCTGACGAACGGAAACGTAGCGTTACAGAGCTAGCAGGTGACAGGTGGTTTGACGTTTTACCAGCCGCCATCGTCGTTAGTGACTGCGGCCTGCCATATTGCGCGTGACACATACGAGGGGAAAGGTTGCTGCGTCCGAAAGTCAGCAGCAGGCCGACACGACAGCCGCCGTTGAAGCGACTCGCGATTCGATGGCAGAGTGAATCGTACCGTAGAACAATCTCGCCGTGTATCACAAAGCACGGCCATTCCTCGATTTCTATCCAGCGGTTAGCAGCTCTTTCTTCACGCCGCGCCGATTTATAGGCATTGTGAGTACACGATTGCCGCATCCTTCATTACATTGTTGACATCGAAGGCTCCTATCTCTGTCTCTCTCTCATTCTCTGATTTCGGCTGTCCTTACGACTGACGTCCTTAAGACAATATCCCCAACGCCATTCTCTTGATCTAGTCGTATTATTATTTATCTTTGGAAATAACCCAAAGTATATCCAAAAAATTACAAGTCACGTCCGAACAAGTTCGGACACGTCCTCGCGTTACGGCGGTTAGACCGGAACTTTTGAGCAAATGAAGGCTTCTATCGTTATCGCACATTCTGGCGACTCGATGGCGAACGCTACAAAGAAACATTTCTTTTTTTCTTTCTCCGTCCGCCAGTCTGCTCGCGAGATTTTCTTCTGCCTTCACTCATCTCTGATTTACAATTTCCTCCTTCGCGTACATCGTGGAAACGCGCTAATTAGACGTAACGTAATTATGGGAGTGGGCAGTTCTATTGTGTTGAGAGTGGCTGTTTTTCGAGGGACTCCGCACGTTTGTTCAGTACTCCGCAGTAATTCTATCGCGCTTCACATGTTTCTCGTCTCATCGTCAGATTAGCGTAATCTATCTCAGATTCGCTCTTACTGAAAAATAATAGCCTAGTAGCGCCATGTCCAAATGTCGCTACTACAACGAAATCCTTCGAAGTTTTTTTCATGGATTATTCATGAATTCGCGAAAGTTGTTTTTCTATCGTAAAAGAACTGTTTGTTGATTATTGAATATGTTTCGTGAAATAAAATAAATTCTTACAAAGTTATTCTTTGCAGAGAATTGTATAATCGTGACATATAAACAATACTCATAGCTCTTAATATTTTGTAGGCCTGTTTTGTACATTTTGTGTAATATGTCAATAAATTCAACTTTGTAGAAGTGTGTGTGTAAAAATATATAAGACACTGTTCACTTATTTTATCAATCATAATTACCACTTTCACAAATGTGTACATAATATATATAATATGTCCTATTTTTTCTCTTTTTCTCTCTCTAAAATCATAGATTAGGTCTTTGTCTCTACATTTTAAATTGGAAATCATATATTTTATCTTTAATTAGGATTAATATAATTATAATAGTAAGAATCATAAGTTGATTATTGACATTACTTTGAGAAATTATCTGTCATGACTCTCATGAATTATATATTTATCTTGTATCAAATGAAACAAAGAGTGCGATACACTCTGCGAAATATGAATCTAATCAATCTCAGATATCTTAAGCCTGACAATGTCACAATAATAATGAATATTCAATAAACTATAGACTTTATCAATTCTGTCAAATTGTCAATAATGAACAACTGCAATAAATATGGTCTACTTTGTAAAATTTTGATTATAGGTGCAATATGTCGACTGGTCCATATAATTACTCCTATATCTTCAAATATATTATAATAGGAGATATGGGTGTTGGCAAATCCTGCCTACTTCATCAATTTACAGAAAAGAAGTGTGAGTAATAAGTAATACATGATAATAAGTACAAATACACAATTTTGTGAATACTTACACATGACTATATCTAAAATTTGATGAAAACTAATTCTGTTTTGTGATATACCACCATTTTCCATGACACATCTTTAAGGAATGTGTTGTCATGTCATTACACGACTATAGTACACATTATGCTATGTATGGCAGGCAACATTTTTAAAAATAGCAATGCATAGATTTTTGTTTTGTTTATCATATTAAACTTTTTTGCAAAATTATAAAAATATATCAAGTAAATATTAAAACACTATGTGATGTTAGATATTTACTTAAACAACTATAGAGAAAAAGAAGTAAGTTCTTTAAATGTAATGCCTTGTAATTTTAGTTATGGCGGATTGTCCACATACCATTGGCGTCGAATTCGGAACTAGGATCATTGAAGTGGCAGGACAGAAAATCAAATTGCAAATATGGGATACTGCTGGGCAAGAACGATTTCGAGCAGTTACCAGGTAATAATTGTGATATCTGAGAGATATGTAATCATTAATTATAAAATTATACTGCATATAAAAATATTCTCTGTTAGATCATATTATCGAGGCGCAGCTGGAGCGTTAATGGTGTATGATATTACACGTCGTTCAACTTATAATCATCTGAGTAGCTGGCTGACAGACACGAGGAATTTGACAAATCCAAGCACTGTACGTAAAAAGCTATTTACATGCGATAATGCAATTGTAAAGGAAAATTTCTGTCTTTAATTGGCTTAAAATGTTGCGCTTTCATTGCGCAAGATAGTCAGATCTATCTCTTATGAGTAATAAAATAACTCCACAATTAAATTGTGTCTCCTGTTGCAGGTTATATTCTTAATCGGTAACAAGAGTGATCTTGAAGGTCAACGTGATGTTACTTACGAGGAAGCAAAACAATTTGCTGACGAACATGGCTTAATGTTTGTTGAAGCTAGCGCAAAGACGTGAGTAAATTTTTACGTTTTTTCTGTAATATTTGAAACAAAATATAAATTCTTGTGTAACTATAAGTGAAACCATACCGTCTAATTTCTCAAACAGCGGGCATAATGTGGAGGAAGCTTTCTTGGAAACAGCAAAGAAAATATTCCAGAGTATACAGGACGGCCGGTAAGTTTAACGATCAGCTACAATTTTATAGCACGAACATATTGATATAGTTACATATGATGATGTTAAATCATAAGATATAAGAAATAAAGAAAGACGCAAAAACGCATCTCCAATCTGGAAATTAAATTCAGCGTTTATCCACACTGTGAAAGCCTCAAATATCATGTAATTATTTTGTTGACTGATTGCTTTGTAGATTGGACCTGAACGCAGCAGAATCCGGCGTTCAGCATAATCCTAGTCAACCGGGCCGTACCAGTCTCCAAGGAGTGTCTAATGAACAGCAGGGAGGAAAGGATTCCTGCTCTTGTTAGGTCCTTATTTGTTTGTATATAGATATATTAATTGATTGGTACTATTAATGCATATATGATTTATATTAAGTGTAGCAAGCAGTTTGTCTCGTAACCGTAATCCTCCCTTTGATAAGTGAAGTCTATTTGAGTGAAACGAAACACGTTTAAAATGATCTTATTTTTTTTCTTAATTAATTAGCATTATTTTAGTAATACAATGTTATAAATACACGACACACAAAGTAGAGATACATACCGTCGTAAAGATAATTCCAATAACGTGCTATCGATTTTTGACGCAGCAAACATAATAAAATCGATGAAACGGCTTTTTTATGATTACAACTTGCATAATATTTTGTACACATTATGCATTTTGTTATGAAGCCAAGCAAGAATGGATAATCCGTTTAGTGCCGTGCACGTGTAATAGCATGTGGAGCCGATCGCGAAGTTTGTTCGAGAGGCTGGAAATTTTTCCGCAGAAATTACTTAACAGCGAATATGAATGATGAGATTTATATTCAACTAATTCGTATTTTCATGGGAGGATCACGTATTTGTTAGTTGTGTAATACGCAAGTTTTTGCTTTCGAAAACTTAATGAAAATTTTATCAGACAAGCAACGGATATATTAATTGCTTTATTTGAACTTTTTTTTACCGAGAGCAGAATGTACATGCTCATCCGAGCTGACTTTAGTTATTTACAAGTCCGACTACAAACGGAGAGAAAAAAAGTAGGGATCAAGTTTCTTTTTTTCCTCATATTTGAAAGATATATCTATTCTTGATGAAATCTAAACATTTACACACATACATACACACACACACACATATATATATATACACACATCAAAATATATTGGATTTGACACGTTTTAGTAAGACGTTAAGATGGAAGTATTCACCTATTTTCTCATTAATTCAAAATTTTAGTTTATACAAGCCTAAACTAGCTTGAATAATTTGTACCCTGCTCGAGTATTACGTGAATGTAATAATGTAGCGACGAATGTATGTTGTCACGCGTTTCAACATTTTTTCCTTATCTGTTATTTTGATACCTTATGTAATTTAGCATACTGTGCTTCTCTGCTTAAGAATTAAACAGCGGAATTTGCAAATTCTCGTTTCCTGGGGTATCGCCTGTTATATTGCGACCTCACGCGGGCATTGAATCCAAACGTCGACTTATTAATTGGCGCGCTTCTCGCGAAGTTACATAGGCTCTATCTTGTTACAAATTCATGTGTGGTACAAAGGCAACATTTACATGTACAAGACATGTGAAGAAAAAAGAAGGTAGAAATTTCATAAGATACATGCAATGATTTAACGTCCTTGTTGGTGTTATGTGACTTGTGAACGATTTGTACGAGTAGCGTGAGAAGAACATGCGAAGCACCGTCCCGGAATAAGCTCGACCAAAGTTTTAACGAATCTGTTCGGTCTATAACGGGCGGTTGTTTTAGCATATTTTGTGTTAATTATATAACTGTATATTCTCGGAGTATTTTGAAAGAGATGCAATGTGAAATAAATTTAGGATAATGTTATCTATCTATGCCGTTCTTGTCGGGTGTAATCGCAGTAGCACTTGATCTTTCCGCGTAACAGGAGTTCATTTTCTCACGTATCTTTGTTATATTTTTTGTATCTTGTACATACGAGTATGAGAGAATGCCAGGGAATAAATATCTTCTACATGGTGCTTCAACGAAAGAGAATGCTATTCTTATTTTATCGGCAGTTTTTTCCTCGTTGTGTAAACAGCTCATTCATTACACACGCGGATCATTTTTTCACGTATTTTATTATTTCTTACAGAAATCTTGGTTCTCGCGGTAGTTTGTTCCGATAGATTGGCTTGTTCAAATCAAGTGTTAATAGTATTCAGTACTTTCTCCTTCAATAATTAATAAACAGGAAAATCAAAATTTTTAGATCATAGAGCAGTAATTTCTTTTTTTACCAGAGTTATTAACAGCTTATTATTGTACTTATTAATCTCTCGCCCTTCTATTTCGCGAAGCAGTGAAAATTATCAGTGATGTTAGGAGCTGTGAAAACAGGTATGATATTTTTATTGTGATAAGGTTCGTGTGGCTGAAATTGTTACATCTCCGTTTATGTAAGCGACACTGTGACTTGTGCAGCACAATTTACTTGTATACTGTAAGCATTGCAACAAATAAAACTTGTATAATAAAGGATTCTAATCTAGATGTAAATTTTAATTTATATAGAATGGTGCGGTGTACTACTGTCAATTATTAATTTTGATTTAGCTTCCCGTTAACCTAACAATTTTTTTTTTAATTTTTCTAGCGTTATATAATACCTTGTTATACTAAATAAGATGGCTGTGTCTGTAATTGCCATAGCGTGCTAAAGGCATATTTAGATTCCGAGCGACACAATTATGCGGCATGTCAGTGAAATGTCAGTATTTATTGGCTGCACTTTCGATAAACTCGTATATTTATGCGTCCGCTGGTGAAGTAATATTTCAAGGCATGAATTTTCGAGCGATCGCCGTACTCGTCGCCGTGACGTGTATGTCATGCCACTTTGCAAGAGGGTGAGGAGGCGTACTCGTCATTATCGTTACACGATGCTGCAGGGCCCCTTTTCAGGGTTACGTCGAGATCTTCAAAGATGAGAAAGAGAATTCGCGTAATCATGAATCTCTGGAAGGGCTTCTTTTTAAATCGCAAGTGATTGAGAAAACAGTGTCTCGCGGATTAACCTCCATAGCTAAAAGCAGATAATACATTTGTCATTTTTAATTTCGAGTGCGCAGTTTGATTCAACGGAGCTTTAATTTAATGTTTTAACCATTGAGATATTTAACGGTTCGATATATCTTATATATTGGTGTCATCTGTCATCTGATCACTTTAATATTTTTATTGTTAAAATCATAAAATACATATAATAAAAGTGAGTAATAGTATATATTGTCACTCACTGTTTTCTATCAATATTTTTTATTTGAATTCGCATATTTTGCGACCTGCCTTTACTTAATACGATGAGGTTAAGAGTTGCGTTTAACCAATTATACTTGGAGCATAAATTTGCGTTTTACTTTCCATCGTGTAAATTGAATCAGGGACACAATGATGCTGTTTGACTTCATGAACACGCGGAATGTTGACGACTGGAGCGAAATGTCCGACACCGTGAGAACCGTGGGAAAGTCCAAGGCCGTGTTAACTTTGCAGACCAGCCAACTCTTTCAGAGAGCCATCCTCTTTACGCTGCTAAATCCGCAACCAAACGGTGCCGGTTTCGCCGGTGTCAGAACGCCAACGAATCTCGACTTGTCAAAATTTAAGAATATCGAGATCACCTGCCGAGGACAGGGGCAAAACAGCAACTACAAGATATCTCTCAGGCATAAAGGACAGGACTCCAACTTGGATCTTAGCTACGAGCAGTTCTTCACAGTAAAGTTTCGATATTACCTTCTTCTCTCATCGCGCGTTTTTTTTAGGCTATTTACCTGCAATTCAACGTTTTCATTGATATATTTGTAATTGAATATTCATTATAGATATATATTCTCTGTATTTCTGTGCTATCGCACGAGATTTTTCTTTATTTTCGGAACTCGACACTTTTAATCGTCAATAAAATGTAGTATCATGCGTTTCCACTTCAGGTACCGATAACAGACAACGAGTTTTCCACGGTGACGTTACCTTTGAAAGACTTTAAACCTTATTATCGTGGACGCGAGATGCCGGACGGTGAGCCTCTGGACACGACAAATATCACTATGTTTGAATTCCAAATCTACGGCGGCGTTTATATGCCAATCAAACAGCGTGGCGTGTCGGCATTAGAGATAGAAACTGTAGCAGCTGTCTCTACGTGATACTCTAGTTAAACGGAAGACAGAAAAATGCCATGTGAAGAATCAATTTTTTTTATTCCCGATAGCTTAAAACCCATTTAAATATTACAAGTAGTACAAACAAGTATACAACATTCAAATGCGTGTATTCAAGATTCCGTATTCAGAGTAAATAAATGTATTACAATTAGAGAATAAGACTCATTACTTTCATAAGTATTTATTATTAGAATGTCTCGTTGCTTTTACGCAAAAGCGAACACACGTTTTAACATATTATGCAGTGTTTATATATTATTAGGCAGAGTATACATAACTTTTTATAATATAACTCTTTATAATGTACGTTGGCCTGGAAACTAGTTAAATAATCAAATTCAGTTGGCTTAATATAAATGCTTAATATAAATATAATTTTATAAGTTTCATAAAATCAGTTGCCAAATATAAATGCTTTCCGAGTTTGTAATTCACAAATATACTTTTTTTTTTCTTACCACTCGCTCAAGTATGTCTCTTCAAGACAGTTGTACAGTTTTAGATCTTGATTCATTCTGCAACAGAAAAGAAATGATATATAAATTATATATTAATTATATATAATTAATTATATTAATTATATACAAATATATGTTACGAAGGAATAAGAGAATAGAAACGACGAGAAGTAAACTTCTGCTTACGCTTTGAAGGTCTCTCCTATTTCCGCAACTTTAGAGGGATGACACACGATAGTGGTCTTGCATTTCTTCGGATCGAACATTGGCTTGAGGTACAAGGTCGCTACACGGGTCATGTCTTCCATAGTTACAGCGGAAATACGCCGTACCATCTGACGATGATAATCATGTGGTACGTTCTTAAAATATGACAGTAATGAGTTCATCACTGTATCGCCTATTGTCTTTTCTTGCTCAATTATCTCGAAGATCATTGACGACTTCGCTGATTCATAAAGCAGCTTATCCCATTTATCGCCCGGAAGATGCGTTTCCTGCAACAGGAATTTCGCGATACAAAATATCCGTAGCTTCTGTTTTCGTTGGAGACACGTGTATAATCAATGAAATAAAGATTGTAGCAATATTCTGTATAAATTAATTTTTAGTAACTTTCTTTCTCTCCAAAAGATAAATTTTCTTATTAGATACTAGATGCGTTCAAAAGTTCATCAAGGTAAAAGTGTTGTAAGCTTTCTTCTCCTTTTTAACTTCGTTAGTAAAATTTCGTACCACTATTGATTTTGTTTCCTTGAACGCCGCCACCGCGTTCGTGGCTCTAAAAAGAACCAAATACAATAAACCTTCGCTCGGTCTGGGAAAAATGCTGTATCCGTACGAAAATCCTTGTCCTCTGATTAATCTCCACATAGGTCCCTGAAATTACGTATTCTCGACATGATGATGACCAATCCGTTAAATTTACTAGATGACCTCATCCCACACACACTTACCTCCACTTGAGTTAAATACTGTAAACAAACAGACAAAGCTGGTAGATCAGGACTCTGATAGTCGGTTATGCACGAACAAGTATGACATAAGAAGGAAGATTCGATGCATCCCAATCCTGTAATGCAACCGTTAATTGTGATGTCGTCCGCAGGATTCAGCAATGACCAATCGGGAGTGATATTAAGCCTGAAAAATTTATTATGCCTTTATTTTAAAGCTATGTTACACTAATTTGAATTTATATGTATATATTGATATATTGGATTATACACAGTAGTAATAAGAGAAAATTTAATTAAACGGAAATAATATCTCGTTGATGCAACCTGTTTTAATTATTAATTTATCGAGTGTGCAAATTATATCTACTTTGTTTTCACTGAAGTTCCCATGTCGGAGAAGAACATGGTCCACGGAGCGTAAACGTTTGGAACTTGCACTGTTAACTTCTCTACGTTAACGGCCATGTACAGTAACATATTTTTCGGGGATGTTAAAGTTTTTCTGACCGAATCGATTTCCGCGATAACTTCTCTCTTTCCTGTTTCATCATTCAGGCGCTCTAGAATATCAGTAAGAAACTTTTGCTGCCGCAACATGCTGGATGTAAAGGTGTTGCTGTCTGAAAATATATTCTAGGAATGTACACTGTGAAAATCTTACGTCTTTTTCGCATTATTTTATATTTATAATTTAGCTGATATTTTATAATTTATATATATATATATATATATTTTTTTTTATATTATATATTATATATCTTATAATTTATTTTATATTTAAAAATATAATTTTTGCGACAAAAAAAGTCTAACCTTTATTATATAATAATCCTTTCATTAAATGGCTCACGACTTTGGATCCGGCTCTCTTTTGTTGAGCTACATCATTCACCATTTTCGTTGCTATTATTTTTAATCTGTCGACCGTTAACTCGGTATCGTACAGAAGCTCTTTGATCCACTGTACACCTTTCTCATACTTCTCCAATTCGAGCTAAGTGAATAAAGAAATGAAGAGACATGAAAAAAATTAATTTTTCTCTTCAATGGTTGCAATTATTCTTTCATAGAAGAAGAAAATCCAGAAACTATACTTACTTGTAGCATCAAGTTAACAGTGTGACTATAGGCACCACATGAAAATCTCGAACCGCTAATAAAACCAATTTCAGTGGAAATTTCTATAGTATCTGCTTCTAATTCGGCTACTACTTCTTCGTGAGGAATTAATCGGCCGTCCCTCTTTACCGGAGATTCCATAATGACTTCCAGCAACAATGGAATATATTTTCTATATTCTTTGGTAATAGAGGAAGTGTCCATAAGGACAAACAGCTAAATTAAAAAATGTGTAATGGTTAATGGTGTAAATGTGTAATGGTTTATAACAACATCAGGGACATGACAGAGATGATAGCATGACATAATATTATAATACTCACATAAACGAAATTTGTGTTAACGTGATCCAAGTAGGTGAAGAATGGCAATTTAGTAACATCTAATCTAGAATGTTGCTCTGGAGTTTCAGTGGTATAACTCTTGATATGATGAAAGTTAATAGTATCCGTGCCAGGTATGGCAACTTTTTCTAATAACTCATCAGGTACCGGTTTCTTCAGAGATAAACAAGATCAATGATAACATCAAGAGTCAATTAATGATACTTTATATATAAGAAGCATTTTGAACACACGAATACTTTCGGTGCTTGTCGTAATATACTTCGATATGTACCTCGTTCTCCTCAACAGCTTTTTGAAGTTCTATCTCTTTGCATTCTAAGCCATCCGTACCCAGCTTCTCTATCTGTTTAGCCGTTCGTTGTTCCTCCTTTTGCGTTAAGGCGCGTTGCTTCTCAATACTAGGTATACCTTTCACAACAATCATCGGAGCATCAACGAAATATATCTTTAAAAGATTTACCCAGTACGATTCGGGCTCGTTTTCCAGTAGTTTAAGGTCACGCACAGTGTTCAATCTTTGATCAAGCTATTAACAGATATGAAAAATTGCAATTGATACGCGAAGCGAAATCTAATTTACAAATTAGCGTTGTGTAACTCACATCTTGCTTTGTGTTTCCGTATAATACATGATTAAAGAGCATATGCGCGATTGAATTATGCGGCTCGTTTTCCAAGGCACTTAAATTTTCAAGGATGCTCCTGTGAACTACAGTTTTCATTCTCTTCATGTCTATACCGTTGCTACATATATCGTTGAACACTTGCATCAGAGGCTTCTTGATCAGGGGAATCTTATCTTTCGGCACATTCTCAAACTTAAAACACAAAGTTGAAGCTAAGTAATCGTACTGAACATAATCCACATTGCTGGCGTAAGGACTGTCTCTTTCGACAAATTTCTTTTGCAATGGACTGACGGACGTATCAGTGAGATATTTGGCAAGTAAGGAACAGCCGAGACAATCGTATATTTTATCGGCTACAGACGGTCCTCGCCAACCAATGTACACCATTCCATTATCCTCATCATCGCACGGATAGTAAACATCGATATCCTCACTCTTCGTGAGTGGTGCAACTGGAGTCTGCCAAGGTCTTTTAAATGGTCCTCTATTTCCCTACAATTTTATAACTTGAAAATAATAAAAATGTCAAGATACATAATTATATAAATACATATAATACATATATTATATAAATACATATATTATATAAATACATATATTATGTCTAGATTCCATTAACTTTTCAAATTGATAAACTTAGAAATATATAAAAATATATAAAAATACCTTTGAAATTATTTTCTGCTCCAGAGGTTGCAGAGCCTTGAAAACGTCAGCATGCTTCACCTGACCCGCTATTAGTACAGTTAGATTCTCTGGTCTATAAAACTCTTTATGATATTGCCTTACTTTCTCATTGTTAGTACTTTCTCGCAAATTCTTTAATGCACCTGTAAATATAAAAGTAAGTAATGTCTGAAGTAACATTGTGATTTAATAACTTTGTATACTTTTATACCTCCAGTGTTTGATCTATATCCACATTTTCCAGGATATATTGCTCTTGCCATTTCAATAAGTGTCATAAATTCTCCTGTATTTTCTTTACCTTGCATTTCACAGTAAACTACACCCGCATCCTTACCCTCACCAGTAATATGATGTATCTCTGTAAGATACGCAGCATCCTAACAAAATATGCAATTGTTAAATGTTTCTTTATAGAGAAATAAAACAATTTTATATAAATACTACAGAACTAGAAATACTTTGTGATAACAACTTGTGCTGAATAGATTGCAGTTATGAATTGTAATGATTATAATGATTGTAATCTTGAAAACTACCTGAAGAGTCGGATAAAGTATATGTTCAAGATAAATTGGCATTAGGGAGAGGAATCCTTCACTGCCAGCAGTTGTCATAGTATAATATGTCCAATCACGTGATGTTGTAGCATTAGTGCCAGATGCCAAACATCTATTAGCCCAGAGATCCAAGACACCCTTGTAGGGGTAATCTTCACTGCCCAAGAAGACAAGATGCTCCAATGTATGAGGAAGGCCGTCATCATCAAATGCTTCGGTAGCTGTTACAAGAAAATTTTTTATGATTAAGGTTTAAAAATTAATATATAATTTGAATTATAATTTATCATTAAAAAATATATAGATTGTTAGGAAATGTTATAATAAAATACTTAATATTATTAGTATTTAAGCAGAACGACTCTATTTTACACAATCACCATATTAAGACCTATTTTAATTCATATGACAATTTTCAATTGTTGCACTATACATACACGTGTATGCGTGGGTATGCGCGCGCGCGTATGTTAATTTATGGACTCAGCACGTGAGTGCATATGTTTATAACAAAAAATATGATAAACAGTATAAGGTAAAACTTAGCACAATATAAAATTATTACCGACGACGTATCGCTTACCAAGATTGAAATAGCCACTGACAACTGGCCCGTCTATTTCCGCGATACAAACTGTCAAGCCGGTGTTCGTAGATTTGTACATATGTACCGGAATTGTATCCTCTGCCTTTAACGAGCATATCAACTCGAATCCGCCCATATTTTCTCTTGGAGAACTATCCACAGGTGCCATATCCCGAAATCTGAATATAAATTCTTGTAAACTATCGATTGTATTCTAACCACAACGAAATACTCAAGCGCCGTTCGGTAGAAGTGGGCGGACGTTCGATCGATGAGTCAATGTTTAATGAATCACTGTTCGCGCGGTGATCTAAAGAATAAAACAATCGTAATACTTTAAAATCAAATCTTTCTAATCCATTATCGAATTGCATTATTCGAAGATAATATAGTTTACCGAAAATAATATAATCTCGCCGTTTAACCATATTAATTAAAAATATGAAAACTTTCCTGAGCCGTCATTGAGTCGTACTACTTAAAAATAAAGATATGTCTATTTTTCTGTTGGGTTGTATCACATACTAACTTAAGTATATTTTCCACCTTTCTAAAAGTTCTTTAAAAATAATAAAAACATGGTCTTATTTGGCCTTGAGGCCAAATTACACTAGCGATTGACGATTGACGATTGACGATTAACGATTGAAGATTAGATTTTGACGAATCAATGAGCTTCAACCTTGGCTTGCTTTGTTCCAATTGGTCAAGTTCGAATCTTCAATCGTCAATCATCTATCGCCAATCGTTAGTGTGATTTGGCCTTTAAGCCCGTATCATACTAACGATTAGCGATAGATGATTGACGATTGAAGATTCGAACTTGACCAATTGGAACAAAGCAAGCCAAGATTGAAGCTCGTTGATTCGTCAAAATCTAATCTTCGATCGTTAATCATCAATCGCCAATCGCTAGTGTGATACGGGCTTTAGAAAAGCTTGTCCCAGGGGCCCTATTCCATAACCACTTATCGACAATTGTCGGATCGGTAGTCGTGGTTGCGCAGTTTTTCTGTAGTATAAAAAAGCTGCGCAACGACGTCTACTGATCCGACAGTTGTCGGTAAATGGTAACGGAATAGGGCCCCAGAATAGAAGGACCACAGGGGCTCGATTCTCTAACTAGTTGCGTATACGTAAGTTTTACTGCGCAGCTATTTTATGGTATGATTAAACCTGCGCAGTAAAACTTAAGAATACGCAACTAGTTAGAGAATCGAGCCCCAGATGTCTATACTAAACTAGATTGCTAACAAGCTATCTAAAGGTATATAACGGCTTGTGTCCGATAGAGTTTTCGGTGCATGCGAGAAATGACCGCTATCGCCACATATTTTCACTATGTTTAGTCATAAAATTCTTTTGTTGAAAATGAGCAGAGCAAATAACGTCCAATACCATCTATTTTTTTGTTACATTTTTTTATGCAATAAGATGCTGGCATTTTTGGTTTTACGACAGTAATTTAATGGCTACGCTGACTCACATTGGGTACTTTCCAGTTATATACGCTGTGTTACACAATAAACTAGTTTATTGGTTGCATATTATCTTATAAGATATTTTAGATAACATGCAACCAATAAACTGGTTTTGTGTACGTATGTGTCAAGATGTGTATCAGACTATAGATTAGGATTGAGATTGAATTGAAATTTAGCCAATCAGAGCAAAATTCATTAAGCTCAAGTTTGGTGAACTTTGCTCTGGCCAATTTTCAATTCTCAATCCGTAGTCTGATACGGGCTTTAAGCAATTGGAAAGCATCCATTGTACGTTGTAAGTACTCACACAAATGACACGTCACACAACAACGTCACATACACAGGACCGCCGTTATTTTCTCGCATGCAACTGGAAATCTTACACGACACACATTCGAAGCCCTTGTTAGCAATTTAGTTTAGTATAGACACCTGTGTACTATCTTTACAAAAAAAATACGAAAAAACCCTCAATTTTGTTAATATTAAATGTTAATATTTAAATTTAGATGTTTATCCCTAATTTTTTAGTGTTTTCAAACACCAAAAATTGAGGGTTTTTTCGTATTTTTTTTCGTAAGGATAGTGATACTTAAAAAAAGGGTTCAACTTCAACTTCAATATTTGGCTCCTTTTTTTTGCACCGGATTTCCAGAGTATCCAGGCTCCTGCACACAGGACGCGGTAATGCTTGCCGCGCGGCGGAAGTTCGCGCGACAGCCAATCAATATGCTGCTTTCCGTAATAATCTTTTAGCTCTTACGGAAAAACAATATATTGATTGGCTGTCGCGCGGCCTTCCGCCGCGCGGCAAGCATTACCGCGTCCTGTGTGCAGGAGCCATAAGAGTTATGCCCCAACGCCATTATTCTGATTTATGATATATTTCGAGAGTAAAGTCTTGGAAAATTCCAAGGCACGTTCCAAAAAATCACAAGGTTCGAACTTGTTCAAACACGTCTTGTCGTAACGGCGGCTAGGCCGAGACTACTTACTTAAAGGGTTAACCATCGCGTCGTTTATTTATCGCGCGTAACAACATCGATCGATCTCTCGCGAGCTCTCGACTGGACGCAATCGAATCGACGGCGGATCGGAGCGCCTTTCACGAGAGAGCCGCGATCGAGTTTTAGCTGCGTGCGCTTTGTGAGTGCGCTCGATTTGTCAAGGTGAGCGTAGTGCAGCGTAGCGAAGCGGGTCGTCGCGCCGGACGCCGCGTTAATTCGTGTTCGCGGCGTGAACAAGTTCGTCGACGGCGCACGAACGCGCGTGTGCCGACCGATCCTGAGTAACGACCAGGAGGAGACGAGCGGAACGACAGACGAGGGGAGAACGGCGACGAGGACGACGTCGAAGACCACAACGACGACGAGGAGAAAGAGGTGGTGGTGGCGGAGGAGTACGCGCGGCCGTTGGTCCTGTGGCAATGTAGCGAGCGTCGAGAGCCGCTGGGTGTCCGGCGGAGGTGTTCGCGCGTCCCGTGGCCGCGGCGAATCGTCTCCGGATCATCGTGGGCTGAACAAGTCGACGTAGGAGCTCGCGCGAGCGAGCGAGCGTGTCTCACGAGCCGCTTACCGAGCCGCGTCGGCTGCGGGGAACGAGGAAGTCGACGACGACGACGACGACGCGCCTAGCGCCACGGTCATCGCCGTCCCCATCGTCGTCGACAATAAACAGTAGTACTCGTGAATAAGCGGCCCGTCAGGGTGGATCGCACGCAATGGCATCGCAGAATCAAAGCGCCGTTAACATCACCGCTTCGCCCGGCACCGCGGCGGCTAACGGGCCGCCGTCGTCGGCACCACCGCCGGGTGCCACCGTCCTCGCCACCGCCGCCGCGATCTCGGCCGCCAAGGCGCAGACACTCGCCGCTACCGCCGCTCCCGCTCCGACTTCGCCGTCGCAGCCTCAGCAGCAACAGCAACAGCAGGCCAATAACATTGAGCCCTTGGACAAGAGTTCCTCCAATACTCTCAAGGTATATACACAGATAAACACGTACTGCATTTGAGTAAATGTTACTTGTTTCAAATATTTCAAATGCATATATCTGCAAATTTGTGTGTCACAAGTTTATTACAAATTTATTCAAAATATATTCTGATTTCTAGAAAGTTTAGCATTTTTAATCAAGAATATAAAATAAAAATTCAGTTTGCTTATTACATAGAGTCAAACCCAATTTTTCTTCAATAAGGTTCTACAATATTCTTATAAAGGAAATAAATTCATTTTTTGAGAACATAATGAACTTTTCTCAAATTTACAGTATATTTTAAGATTATTATCAAGAAAATATTCTTCGTGATGATATTTTTCTGTGTATATGTATCTAGATTAAGCTCTTTCAATACGATTCAGTCCAGGGCTTGTCAAGCCTGGTTCTGTGCTGTCATGCTGGTATATGTGTACAAGTCATGATAGTTATCCTTGTGTAAATACTAAGATGGTTATTGATTGTCATGTGCATTTGCAGCGCAATCCAAAGATGGAGTTGAGCAAAACTGATTTGCTGAAGTTGCTGGGCTATCTGGAGGGAGAGCTGCAAGCAAGAGACATTGTGATAGCGGCATTAAAAGTAAATAGCAAGATATTCTTTGTATTCTTTGCAAATTCCTTTAATTCTCTAGTAGTATATACAAATTCACATTATAAAGAAGAATGTAGAAAGAATGTGTAATAATATAATTGTATTATAATGACTAGTTACAGTCTCATGTGATGTAATTGCCTGAAATATTTTAACCATATTGCAGCTTAAGTTTCAAATTGTTATGGGCTGGTGATTTTCTCTTCTCTCTCTTTCAGTCAGAAAAAATGAAACATCTGTTGAGTTCTCGATATCTTAGTGGAACCGCAGACCCACATGCAGCGCTAGCTCGCGACGTTGCGATAGTAGGCGGCGTCAGTGGGGTCGAAGGGAATCAAATTGATCAAAAGGTCGCTAGTCTGGAGGCACTAGTGAGCAAGCAAAGAATCGCGCAGTGTAGGATGTCCAAAGTTCTTAGAGATGCTGAAATTAGGCACAGAGCGGTATGTATCGTACTTTGTTCTATATTTCGTCGTACTACGAAAAACAGTGCAACTAATTTATGTATGACGATATATCATTACTAATATCTTCTGTCAATGTAGATTAAACTTTAACCTGAGTTTAAATCCTTCAGACAAAGACTAACTTAGATTAAGGTTTAATTAACTTTGGTAGAAACCGGACATAAGAAATGAATACTTATCACGCCGTCACTGTTGTACGTTTACAGGTAATTAAAGAATTGGAAGAAGAAAAACGAAAACATGAGCACGATACCGCCCAAGGCGACGACATCACTTACGGTCTCGAAAAAGAGAGAACAAGATTGAAGAAAGAATTGGAGCTGGAGAAGCAAGAAAAAAAGAAATTAGAGCTTGAATTGAAGAAGGTCAATGATCATCTCGAGGAGGAGAAGAATCGGCAAAAGCAAATAGTGCTTCTACTTTTAGCGGAACGTAAAAAGATTATCATGAAGTACATCGAGGAGAGAAAACGATCTGAGGATTTGGCTCAAATACTCAGCGAGGAGAAAGTTAGGATAGACTCGATGGCCGAAGGCCTCGAGGAAGAGAGCAAGAAATCATTGCAGATGGAAGCAGAATTGGAGAAGCAATTAGCGCAATTTGACATGGAGAGGCAACAGTATCGGCAGGCTCTAGTGAAGGAGGAGAAGAGGGCGAAAGACTTTGAAACGGAGTTAGAGAAATTACGAGTCGAGATGGATACATGGAAAGAGTCGCAGGCTCGAGGTCCCGTGAGAGGAGTTGGCGTAACTCCACCGCCACCACCTGCAAAACCAGCGAATTTGGTTGCTATGCCAACACTTAGGCCAGCTAGTGCTCCGCAAACAAGTAAGTTTATGTATTCTCAACGTTTTGTTGCTTTAGAAATTATGCATGTCAAGAAATGCTCGGTGACATTTATTGGTTAAATAAGCAGAGAGCATAATGTAAAATAGCATAAGTGAAAAGATCATTGCTCAATTCACATTGTTCTTGATGTGTGATTAATTGATGTTAGGAAACAAGTTGATCTTAAAATCCTTGACATCTTTTCTGTAGTTAAAGGAGCAGTCTTGGGTACAGGGACACCTATGGTTAGTAGTAAAGTTGTCCAACCCACTGCCACAGTGTCCAGTGTTCCTGTTAGTGGACCAAGTAAGGTTCTTTAGATATTTTCGTGTAACAATGTCAAATAAGTTTTATTTTAACAAATGACATATATCTATAAAGGTCCTTAAAGTATAATTTCTTGAGCGAGTTTTTGTACATATAAAACATAAATTTACATACATGCAATACACAATTTTATATTAAGTCAATTTAAATTTTAGAGTCATTCTATGCAATTTTGTGCATGGAAACCTGTGAAAATTTAATTATAAAGCAACGTGCAATTTTTCCTCACTTTTAGCAACTGGAATTGCTAGATCAGTAACACCTGGACAGGCACTACGTGGGGTTGCGTATACACCGAATTTAACATCTGCAAGTGGAGAGTCTACAACTACTTCAGACACGCAGGTAACCTATCCACATTTCCCTACACACTCGACATTAATCTGAAAATTATACAGAGCCTATTTATACATGCAAAATATTGTAATACATATTTTTCTATCATATATCAATAAGTACTAGATTACTAGTATTTTTTTGAAAAAAAAAGTGAAAGTAAAAAATTCAGATAATATAATTTTTGTGAACAGTTTATGTTTATAATGATAAGAAAAGTCAAGTTAATACTAAAACGTAGAAATCAGTTATTCTTATTAGTCTTTGCATGGAACTTCTTCCATTAGTACTATATATACACATATATGTATATTTATAGTTCAAATTATATTCAACTTGTTATGTCAGTATTGTGTATTGGAGACAGATAGGAATTATATATAGCTTTAATAAAATATCATATATTGATATGAATTCATGTCCAATAAAAAAAGAGCTACATTATAGATATTAGATAAAAAAGAAATTTTGGCGTAATGACAACGATTATATGGTATTATAAATTGTATACGAAAGACAAAATATTTTTCCTGTTCTGTCAGATGACAGATGACATAGAATTTATATGCATATGCTAGAGATTGTAATTTACAGTGTAAGTAGGCTCTTTATAATTTAAGATATACGCGAAACTGGAGCTTTACGAGATATCTTCCGAATATATCTTGAACGAAAATAGTTCCCTGCACTGCAGTGTATGACTGTTAGACATTTTAACCTTATTTTGTTTGGTTAATAATTGAAGAAATGTATATTTAATTCGCATTTTTAGTCGTGTTCTTTTTCGCAACTCAGGATTTAATGCTTTGAAACCATGCTATTGAGATACGCGGCAAAACTGTTAGAAAGAATTAATTTATCTATTGAATAATTTTCTCATATGCCCCGCTCGACACATTTTAATCTTATAATAAGATTATTGCATTTGTTGTTACACTGATTTTACACAAGCACTTTATAAGTTTCTCTAGTCTTATACATTTTATTTCGATATTTTAAGTCGTAAGCAACACATGCATACACACGCACTCACACTTTATCGTCGTGTATTTATTATAATTACGTGTTTATTAACGAGCCTCATGCATATTTATCCATTACGATTTTATTTAAAAGCACAGATATAATTAGATATTTATTGCTTCTTATTTGAAATGAAGATGATTGCATTTTAGTAGTGAAATTTATATTCTTGTGCTGCTGTGCTATCACGCAACAGCGTATATAGACATTTGGTAGAATATTGGGACGGGTCAATTGAATGATTGGTTTTCATTACTATCGTCTTCCTCAGTTCGATGTACAGAATTGCTCTCGCTTTGATTGAAATTCATTTTCGTTATTTCTATCGTTCGTATTATCTAATGGTGCACTGAGAGGGACAATTCGACTTTGCTCTCAGGGTTTTCTATTAGGTGACTGAACAATTCGAAAGCAGATTATTTTGAGGAGGATTTACTTGACATTGCTAACTTTGTTGACACGTTATTTGTAAAGTTTACTGACGGTGTTAAATACACATACATACATAAATACATATATATATATATATATATATATATATATATATATATATACACACAATATAGACGCTCGCAACGCAATATGTTATATATTTCCACGATATATACCAGTCTAAGTTAGCACACCATCAATATATCTAGAATTATATTTTATTACGATACTTTTATTTTGTGTACATAAGATTTATTATTTCACATGTACGTCGACCGATTCCTACAATTAAAAGTTGTATGCAACTTATTTCTGAGCCTTATTTACAATTCTCCCCGCTTGACTTCATAATCGCAATCCCGTAATCGCTACTACTAAATTATATATGGTTTGGTTACGAACTTGGACGTCTATTATGTATCGTTTAGTTGGTTTGCAAGCAGTACCTTAACAAGCAGGTGGTACGCGTCTGGCCGAGGGTCGGAGCTCTTTTCTTTTTATCGTAACAATCCTCGATCTTGAAGGACCCACGCCGAAGCACTCGTTTCTCGAATCAGGCTTTCTGTATCGCCCTATTCGTCTCTTTTTCCCCGAGGTTCTGTCACACATTACGTTCTATTACTAATCCATTCTCTGTTTTGCGTAATTCTGACTGCGTCTCAAGCGCGCCTTATCCTGTGGTGATTTGCGAAGAATATGCGGTCGAATCGAAAGGAGGTTCCTCCCTCGCAATTATCTATTAACAGTACACGGTGTGCGCACTCGATTCGATATCTCGGTCATCGAGAGTCTTAGCGGGTTGTGACCATTTTTCTTTTTTCTTTTACGCTTGTGTAACCGGTGAATAACTCTTTTTCTCTCTTTTTCCTCCTCGCATCGATCTTGAGTATAGTTTCTCGTAGTTTTGCCGTCAACTCCCTTGTTACTTTTCCGCCGAGGTCTCTGCTTTGGATTAGTTCTTTGGTATGGTTCTTTTTTCTCCAAATCCTTAAAGTAAGTCACTCACCAAGAATAATGTTTTATCACGTTGTGGAGTTCGCTACTGTTGGCGGCGGAGTGTCTGTCTGTCTGCCTATCTGCCTGCCTGTTTGTCCACCTACCTGTCTATCTGTTTGTCTTGTCCGTCTGTCTGGCAAAACGACCGTAAGCCGCCGCCACCGCCGCCGCCGCCGCCGCCGGCGCAACCCTCTCAAATCGGTCATGGTTGTGTGTGTTCATTCCTCAGGCCGTAGACAAGCGACCGGTCGTACCTGCTCCTGTTAATACTGCGACCGCCGCGGCTAAGCTTATAACATCGTCGCAAGCCGCAGGGAAGCTCGGCTTTCACGTTGGTCCCGGCAGCCCCGCCGTTCAAGCACCCACCGCTGTCGCCGCCGCCGCCGGTATACTGCCCGCGAAAAAGCCGCCGATCTCGCGCGGCGTGCCACCCCCGGTACCACCGAATAAGCCAGTGGTACCACCGAAAAAGGAGGCTGCTTACCTTAGAAGACCGGAACTGTCGCAAAGCACACAGCAGGATAATACCGTTAAGTTCGGTAAGCAGGCCTCGTCGCACGTTACGGCGGCGAGCGGGACCGCCGCACCTTCGCAGGCGCAGCAACCGAGCGCCGTTGCCCAAGCTGCCGACGAAGAGGTCAGTAGCACGACAGAGTCGAGATAAATATTTAAGGCTTAGCCGATGAATGATCGTTACGCACACGTGTAGGATAAGCACGCTCGCCTGAGGGAGAAGCGCGCAAAACAAGCGATTTAAACACAAACGCAAGCAAGCACACCATACACACACACACACACATACACACACGCACACATACCTACACAAAACACACGCGATATGATACCATACGTTCAGGTATGTTCAATCGGAGCATCTGTGTGAATGTGATTTCAGACAAAGCCGCGTTGATCAAGCGCGGAGAGAGAAAAATAGAGAGAGAAAGAGCAAAAAGCGAAAGGGTGAAAGCGTGAACGTAGATATATGTATACACACATCGAGATGTGCATAATAGAAGCAAGTAAGGAAGAATATAAAAAGAAAGTGACACATCATACGCCGCGGTACGCTTGGAATCTAAGCTGGACCGCCGGAAGTTCCGTCTCGCAGAAGATTCTTCCCGAGACCCAGGAGAGCCAAGAGAGGAGAAGGAGAACTCGTCCCGAGGCGCTTCGTAACACACTTGTCGAGTCGACCGCTCGAGAGACTGAATCGAGAGAAGAACGGTCGCGTGTACGCGACTTATACGACTAGATCTCACGGCTGCGGTCCGGTCGCGTCCGCGGGAACGTCACCTGGAAGCGTTGTTCTGTCCATTTCAACGGAACAACGGTTGACATTTGTAGCTAATATGCGAAAATAATTGATCGGAGCTAGAGTTACTCTTCGGATACGTAAGATAGCCTCTGTAGGTTCCTAGATAGCTTATTCTGTACCGGCTCGTTTCGGTCGGCCGAGAATGATCGTCGTGGCGTCTCAACGATCTCGTATACGAGGAACAAGCTTGCGAACAAGCGTGAGTCGCTTGAGGCAATCGGTAAACGAGCATGTCATTGACTAACCACGAAGGAAAAGGGTCCTTAGGCACCTCCACAGTGGTTCGTTAAAGGTCCTGGCCCCTAGCCATCTTGATTTATGACATCAGAAGCGAGGTTCCTGCCCAAAATTCCTGCAAAGTACGCCGAAATATAAAGACACATTCAAAAGTGACACTATCGATTAAACACACTTCTAAAATATCTTAAATAGTTTCCTTTTGCTTCAACAATCAATAAATAATCGTAAAATTAACGGAATGAAGTAGTGAGGGAAAAAGATTAAAAGAAAAGGTTGCATGTCACGTTAATTTCATAGTTATTTATTGATTGTTGAAGCAAAAGGAAAGTGTTCGCAGTATTTTGGAGGTGTGCTTAATCAATAGCAAGTGTCATTTTTCGGAAATATTTGTTTTATTTCGACGTACTTTGCAGAAATTTTGGGCATGCACTTTCTCACTTCTGGCGTCATCAATCAAGAGTTTCGCGGTGAGGGGCCAGGAGCCTTAACGTTGCGTTTATGAGAAGATTCACCACGGGCAAGTTGCATCAGCGTAGTTCAATACCAAGCACTTCTGGTCGATTCAATTTTTTTTCTCATTCGAGGGGCGCGTATCCGCGCACAATTACATATTGATTCTTCGGTGAATTTCTAATAACGTCTTTTCTCGATAGTCTCCACGGAAATTTCTTTCTTGTATATTTTTATATATTTGTAAATTTGTATGTGTATATACATTCAGCAATCTTTCGGTAGGATATTTTTTCTTCGAAATACCGCCGGTAATAATGTGTACCAGGCGGTGTGTAATGACAGTGCAGATCCAAATCGGATCTGCATCTCTACGGTCGACTTTTCGCGCACGGCGGCGTCTTGCGGATTTCCGTTTCGCGAGTCTTATCTGATAACCAGACTTCAGCGCTGTCTCGCACGTTACGTCTCGACATGCGTTATCACGAGTAGAATTTAGAATCCGAAAAGGTGTGACGCGCTGTATCAAAGTCGTTAAGACAGATTCAGTTAAACCAGACTGTTGATGCAACTCGGCTAGAAACGGGAAACTTAGAAGAAGCTATCATGTGCTATATTCACTGCCTCGTCTCACATAATTTCGTAAATGTCGGTACAAACTTATAGAACTGAAGAAAGATATTTTGCAGACACACACACACACACACACACACACACACACACACACACACA